TGAGCCCGGGGGGGAAGCAGGTGGAGGATGAGTCTCTGAGCAGAAAGACGGACACTGGATGTCTCTGTCCTCAAGGGTCTTCATTAACAGCACGAGACATAGACATAGATTCTACAAGACTGTCCTTAGCACTTCTACATATTTCAGTTGTGGAAATTACAGATAAATAGCATTTAATACTGATGTTAAAAACATTTGGTAGCAACTGTAGTTTTTCCTAAGTGATGTGCTACTTTTGGATGCTTATGCATCTAACTTAAATATTATAAAGATAGTTTTTAATTTATTTTAATCCCATTTATGTGTTTTAATCATCATTTTATAATTTTCAGGAATATGCATTTTCAATTATTTGGAAAATGGGCATCGTCCACGATATGAACTAAAATATTTGCAGGGCACATCTGTACATGTTCATTGCTATCCTGGCTACATGCTTCCAAACAAGCAGACCTCAATGACCTGTACAGAGAATGGCTGGCTCCCTCCTCCCAGATGCATCCGTGTTGGTAAGAAAACTGTTCTAAGATCCAGTCTGTTTGTGATTGTCTAAGACTTCTGTAATAACTGTGGAAAAATGTTTCTATCAGCTTCCTATTATGCCAATGGCCCTAATTGGTTTTATTTTTTCAAGTGTGTAAAGTGGAAACGCCAATTTCTTGATATATCAATAGCAAAATAAAGAAGCCTATTGGTAGACATTAATTAAAAACAAAACAAAACAGGAAAAGACCACAAAGAGCAAACCTGTAATAACAGGGTCATGAGCAAGATGGCAGATTAGGAGGTTCTGTCATCTTCCCCACAAAGAACAGGGATCCTGACCATCACCCTGCATGAGGCTCCGGGCACCCAGCGAGAAGTTTCACACACCTATTGGAGCCAAGGGCCCACACTGGATGCCCCACAGGCTCTGAGAGCAACAACTTCACCCCGAGTGACTCCTCCCAGAGTGCGCCTCTTGGGCATATGAGGTTGGACACCCCAAGTCCTACTGGCTTGATGTTCTGTGTTGGAAGTCTAGGTTGTTCTGCTCAACGTGATCTAGTCAAGGCTTATTGATCAATTAAGCTGGTGTGGGAGCTTTTCCACAGAAGAGCTTATTCAGGGTCTGGATGGAGGAGGCTTCTTCTAGTCTCTCTACTAAGTGATTTATGTTTAAGACCTGTTCCCATGTGACTGATTAATCTGAATGTTTCCAGTGCTGGGTGTGCCCTGGGATCTTGGAATTGTTGTTTCCTGGCAGCTCTTTCCTCAGTAGTTGGGTTCCGCCCTCCACTCCAGGGGGATGTAGTCACCAAAGAATCTAGGATCGCTGTGCCGGTTGGTAGAGCTCTCCCCTTCACTCCAGGGCTCTTTCTTCTCTGGTTATGGACATTCAGAGTCTGGCGGTGTCGGCCTCTTTGGGAACAGCGCCTTCGTTTCTCCTGTCAGTAGGACTGACACGTCTGCTGGGGTTTTCCCTTCTTGTGCTGTGATCTGGGAAGTTCCCACCTCCCAACAAACCCTGTGGAGAATGGAGAGCCCATCGGTGACCATGTGTCTCAGGATCCATAA